TACTGGTTTTGAACCAGGGATCTTGTGAACACTAAGCTGATGTCTTACCCCAAGACCACCAGCTCCACTGAAATTTATTTACTTTTATCTTCCTCTTATGCTACATCTTCGGTTATAAATCCAGAAAAATCAATTAACTTACTTCCTAAATCACAAAACTATACTTGGTTTCGAACCTTCCAACTCTTCTTCACTATGCCGGTGTTTTACCAATAGGCCACCAATGGCACGGAAATTTTAGACATTTAATCTTCCTCTTAAGTTACATGTTGCTCTGTAATTAAATAAAAATCTCATTACAAAAATACTTCTGTTTTCGAACCACGGTCCTTATATTTACAACGCGGGTGCCTTACCGCTAGACCACCAGACCATGTATTCTGTAGCGTTCTGCGATCGTCCTTATATTGTAGAATTTGGTTTATAGCTGCAGAAAAATCATATTCATTTATTCACTTTTCAATTTCTATTGACAAAAGACACAGTGGTCTAGAACCCAGTACCTTCCCACTACTACGCCATTGTCTTACCCACGTACCACCAGATCTATATAGATTTGTTACCTTCACGTTCCTTATATAGTACCACTTGCTTCCTACATGTACAAATTTCTTACATTCCTTTTTTTCACACAAAAATAGTCATGTCCTCCAACCATGTAACTTCTGAACCATACACCAGTGCCTTACCAAAGGCCCACCATGGTTATGGCAAATATTTGCTTTCGTCTTCCACATATCCTACCGCTTCGTTTCTACAAAATTCCTCATTACTTCTTGCTTCGTTTCAAAGTCATTTTACGACTGATGGTTTGCCAGTCACTTTCTCTTGATTTAGAGCCCATTCAGACGCTGATTACCAGATCTTAGTCTTGAAGTAAACTTCACTGTTTGGCCTTTAATCTTTAACGTCCGATGTGAACCGTTCAGGACAGTGATGAGTAAGGAAATCGCGCACACACGCCGCTAGTAGAAGCGCATGCGTAATTACCAGACCGACTTGAGTAAAACCCTAATCGAGGAATTAAAGTGATACCTAAGTGAACAACAACAAAAAGAGTATAAGTATGAGTTATCCCCAAACTCATCCACGAGCCAGTACTTTTATTGCAGGTTCTGCAGATTAATGCGTTAAAAATATATAGTAAAATTCGATGTACATACCTTTTTTTGTTATCTGCTTGATGTATATATAGGCTGAAATGAAACTACAGTATTCGATTTCACTACGAACGCACAGAAAACAGATTGCTCTGTGTATCTCAGCCACGATGCAGCTGTCTGTTCACGCCCATAGAAAGGGCAATAATCTCTTGCAGCTATAACGGAAGGTGTTAGCACTGAAGAAGGGACCCCTCTAGCCATTTCTTGAATAGCCATGCTTTCATTCTTCAGGCATTTAGTGAAAAGATTCGAAAATCTGAAGAGTGTAACAAAGATATAAGGTTTTCCAGCAGAGAACCAAATGATTTTATTGCTTCCATCTGTTTTATGGCACCAGAGACTGCTAAAATTTGTCAAGTGTTACAAACAGAAACGAATTTGTAATGCAGAATAACTCTGTGAAGAACTGCGACACCAATTTTGCAGTATGCCTCAAAATTAAAAGAAAAAATTGAAAATAGAGTATAACTTTTTGAATAAAATTTTTTAATCTTTCGTTGTAATATGCGACACTATGTTCTTTGCTGATACAAACAAAGCTAATTCCATCCATTTGCCATAAAAATTGTGTTAGACAGCATTTTTAAACACAATGCTTAAAATTGTTTAAGCGCCCTAACAGGAACGGGCATTTAAATGCAGAGTAGCAACGTGCATTTAAACGCGCTTCAGCAGCGGCCATTTAAATAAACTCCGGCCAGCTCGAGCTTACCACCATTTCAAAAGCCCGGCATTTAAAACATTACCTTTATACCCATTGTACTTTGTCAGCATTGTATGTATATATCTTGGCATTCAAACACATACTGTAATAGTGGCTTCTGATCGTACTGATGTCCCTCTGAGGAAGGTCTGTAAAGACCGAAACATGTAAGGGATGAAGGATTGAAATAAGAAAAATCTTTGCTAGTCACACTGGATGGAACTGTTTAACCTCTTATGAAAATATGACCTTGTTTGAACTAATACAAAGTGTCACAGAGACAAGTACATGGCAGTTTGATATGGTTAATTTTGCCAATATACAATTTATGTATATCCAAATAAGATATGAATTCACTATATGAGTACTTCTAATTTATTTTCTTAATGCTAATTAAATACTGTAAAACATACTGTGTTGTTCCTTGTGTTAATGGCTAAGGAAGAAACTGTGCTACAGGGTATGATTGATAGACTAATCAAAATTGGAAGGTGCTATGGCATGGAAATGAATGTGGAAAAAACAAAAGTAATGAAAATTTTGAGACAACCAACCCCAGTCACAATAAAGATAGACTAAAAACAACTGGAGAATGTGAAATGTTTTAAATATTTGGGTAGCTTGTTAACAGATGATGGAAGGTGTACTTGTGAAATTAAATTAAGGATTGCCATGGCAAAAGCTGCATTTAGCAAGAAGAAGAATCTTTTTACCAGAAAATTGGACTTAAATTTGAGAAAGAAACTAGTGAAATGCTATGTTTGGAGCATTGCTTTGTATGGGGCTGAAACCTGGACAATTAGGGCAGTACATCAGAAACACTTGGAAAGCTTCGAAATGTGGTGTTGGAGAAGGATGGAGAAGATCAGCTGGACCAATTATATGAGAAATGAAGAAGTGTTATTTAGAGTCAGTGAGCAGAGGAATATCCTACACGAAATAAGAAAACAGAAGGCTAATTGGATTGGTCATATCTTACGCGGTAACTGCCTTCTAAGAGAAGTTACTGAAGGAAAGATAGAGGGGCGGATAGAAGTGACCAGAAGACGAGGAAGAAGACGTAAGAAGATGCTGGATGACCTTGGGGATGGAAGAGGATATTTTCATTTGAAGGAGAAAGCTCTAGATTGCATCAAGTGGAGGAACTCTTTTGGAAGAGACTGTGGACCTGTCATCTTGACAGATTACTGATGAATGAATGGATATGTATCTGAACATTCCAGCACTTCACCTCTCAAGAACCACACATCAATGCTACACAACAGCATTGTACTCATGCTTCAAGAAAACAATCATAACACAGGAATACACGGTACATTACTATGGACCCACTGTCACGAACATTGCATTTGGCAATGGTTCACATCATTGAACTTTTTTTTTATTGCTAATGGGGTGGGACTAAGTCCATTGTACTGCAGGCACTTCTGGCCTATTGTACCAGCCCTAGATGATAGGTGAGGGTGATTGTGGAGCAATTGGTGGAATGAAGATTGGCAGGGGAAACCAAAGTACTCAAAGAAAACCTTCCCCAGCACCACTTTGTCCACCACAAATCCCACTTGACCAGACCCGGGATCGAACCCGGGCCGCCACAGTGAGAAGCGAGCGACTAACCGCTTGAGCTATGGTGTGGCCCATCATTGAACTTTAATATAACATTAGTTTGAACTTTCTATAAAAATGTAATTTCTTAGGTATTATAAATCTCTTATCCATACATATAAATTGTAAAGTTCCCTTTAATATCTGGTTTCCCCGTTGAAGGTAGCCATTTGGAAAAAAAAAACATTTTGAGGTTTTAACAGTATTTAGTGTGCATAAGAAAATTAATTAATTCTAGTCAGGTAGTGACTTCACATCTTACATAAGTATACAGCAGCATTAGGGTGTCAAAATAAGTGCCCATAGAAAATGCATTCATACCACAAGATAATACATATGGGAAATCATCTCCAGGCTTTCTGTTCCTGGAAAACACTGCAAAATATTCAGCCTTAAATTTTTTTATTCACTCCCTTCTACAATTGTTGCAGCCAACTGGCTGTTTGTTTCTCATTGTCCATACATTGGTTCAAATTCTGGCACTTAAGGTTATTGTAATGTAAGGAAATAAATATTTCTAGATGCACCACATTTCACTTTATAAGCATATTTTAATATCCTGAAGTGATGTGGTTGAAGCATGACAAGTACGTATAAGGTCTTAAGATCTGAGGTATTCATGTTTGTAAAGATTCATACTTTACTCTTCTGGGTTATAATATGATAGGCAAGTTCCATAATTCTGGGGAAACAGTGCTGCCATCTTTAGGGCAGAACTGAATCCAGGATACACTTTTCAGATTTGCTAGTATTATAATGAAATGTTAACATGTTCGATCACATGTGACACAGCATACTTCATGTGCTGTGTGACCCACTGGGGCCACACTCTAAAAATTATTAAAATAAACAAACTGCATAACAGTTAGCAACTATGATCATATTATGAACCTGGATTAAAATATAGACCCGCATTGCAGATGGAACCTGAAGGAGAATTCTTGAATTATGTGGCAGGACTCAACATGTTGTACTGCTGCTACATATTAGCAACAGATTTAACATTACATGCAGTTTTTAATAAGTTTGTAACTGAGCAACGTAGTGGGAGTGGGAACATTTCTGACTTGTATTCTGAAGGTGCTTGGTTTAAATCTTGGCCAGAACACCACTCTCATGTTTGAGGTTTCTCATGATTATCCTCAGTTCCAGAATAGTACCCTAATGTAGACCATGATGCTTCTGTCTACGTCATTTTTGAGTCATTATTCGCTGTTATTTGATCATTTGAGGCTATGTAGTGTGAGTTGCTGATAGCTCTCAGTGCCAATGGGGGGGACAAGCCAGGCAGCTTCCCCCATCCTTCATCACAAAAATAGATTTTTGGAGAAAAGTCGGGGTTGAAATAAGATGAAAATCACTAAATATAAATACTAACAAATTAAAAATGCTAAAATAATTCTTCTATCCTCAGTACTATATAGTGCTCAGTTAAATTATTCCGATATGTTTGCTCCCCCACACATGAAATCCTGGCAATGCTAATGCTGGCAGCATCATTCAAAAACTACAGATGAATTAATAACAAATAAATATAGACCAATGAGAGATATCTGTATACTTTCATCAGTGTACATTATATTACACAGCACGTGTGTGAGTCGGTGTCCACCTCGCAGCTTCCCGAACCAGGGTGGCGTGTGCTGGCCATGCCATGATTCTTGTGAAACCTGCGCTGGTGCAGGCCAGGACAGTTGTCTCACATGTGCCCCTGCACATCTGCTTGTAACCGATCTTGCCGTCTGCCTGCAACAGTGCCCTGAAGGATATTATGAAAGTATGATTATAATGTGTATTTGTACTTCTGTTTCAGTAGCTTATCTAACACAGTGTAAAGATTAAATTGTAAAATTCTGGTCAAATTAAAAATTCAACTCAAACATTGAGATCATGACTTGTATTGGCAATGCTGTACTGATTTAAAAAAGTCTCTGCAGTTTATTTGGCATGAATTTCTAATCAACATATTAATATCTTTTAGGGTACCTTAAAACATTCAAGATATCTATCATGAGTTGAAATGTAGATAAAAAGAACTGATAAAATGCTGGCATTTCACAAATTGTCAATGAATAATCCGTCGAGTGTAACAACGTTCTTAGGTCACTTATTTATTTCACTCGCCTTACATGTTTCGGTTCAAAAGAACCATCATCAGAGGCACGTTACAAACACATGAAACCACTGGCGTTGTATTGTACACAGTATGTAAGCTGCGTGATCTGCTACAGATGTCGGAGTGTAAAAGCACAACACTTTCTAGTGACGTTGAATGCATGTACGCCTCTTGCATTCCATCCAGAGAATGCCCTCAAATTGAGCCGTCAATGTTAAAATATTTAAAAACTTAAAACATTTGAAATAAAATTTGGCTCCTTCTTGTTGATTCGTCCCGGTGATGGGAATCGTCAACTTGAGGTTGTGTATGCTTTTGGTCGGATGTGTCTTACGCGTTGTGTGTTGTGTACTGTGTACATTATACAACGCCAGTGGTTTCATGTGTTTGTAACGTGCCTCTGATGATGGTTCTTTTGAACCGAAACATGTAAGGCGAGTGAAATAAATAAGTGACCTAAGAACGTTGTTACACTCGACGGATTATTCATTGACAATTTGTGATTGATAGTGTAACGGACCAAATATGAAACAATTCAAATGCTGGCATTTATTTCAATGCTGCTGTGATAAAATAAAATTTGGTTTATATAAGAAATTGACTTAAACATTTAGCTGCTTGTCATTTCAACTTTTCAGTTGAGTGTAAATATAGGTAAACATTGTTCATAAATAAAAATTGGGATGTCACATGCAGCTGTTTAATATCTGTGTTTGAATAAATCTACATATTTTGTCATGAATTCATTATGTCATCATATTGCCAACCTAATATTACATCAAAATTGTATTTTAAAACAGTATCTTTAAAATATTTAAAATTGTTAAAAATTGTATTCTCTCCTAGCAGTTATTATAGTGACTGGCTACAGGCTGAATAACCGAGGGGTCAGAGTTCGAGACCCGGGGCCAAGAATTTTCTGTTCTCCATGTCATCCAGACTGGCTCTGGGGTCCACCCAACCTCCTATCAAATTGGTATCAGGGACTTTTTCCCCAGGCGTAAAGCAGCAGGGGTGTGAAGCTGACCACTCATCTCCAGCTAGTGCCAAGGTCAAGAAAATATGGATCTATACATCCACTCCCCCATATGCCTTCATGGCATAGTGCTTAATTGGTTAAACACCGGGATGACTTTAGCTTCTTTTTAAACCTTTTACCTTGTAGTCTGGTAGAAAGATACAGATATTCGGGGGAACATGCTATCTTGGTCTTCAGAGCAGATAACCACTGCTGCCCCAAAGATAGAGGCATCATTTTCCTCCAGAACAATGCGACATTGCCAATTTACTGGTAGCTGCCCTTCATGTCACAGAGTAGCATACTCTTGAAGACAATGCTCTTCATATTTACTGCTGTGAGAACCTCAAACCACTAACTGAAGACTCTGATTTAGCAATAATGGTTTTGGCTTATGTTCAGAATGTTTGAATCTTATGCAGGACACTATTTATCCTGACTGAAGATTTTCATGGCTTTTTCCTCAGTCCTTACAGGCAATTATAGAACTTTGATTAGGCCATGATTATTTTCACCCAAATCCTTTACAGTTCCTCGTTCATCAGTAATTCTACCATTCAGTGCTCTGCAGACTAGCTACTCTCAGCTTCATAAAATTAACCAAAAACCATATCATCTCACCTTTATAATCATAGGTTACAAGAAGTATGAATATAATGCTTTGAATTCATGACAAAACTTGTAAGACATATTTGAATATTGATTTTTAACAATTGTATTTTACAGTCTAGTTAGTTATGAACAGTTACAATTAACGAAATATATGGAAGATGTAAATGTAACTGAATGCATCTTTTGTTGTTTCGTGTAATAATAGAAAATGTTTTTCTAGAGAGAACAGAAATCTTAAATCAATGGATTAACAAGCACTGTTATTTTAATTAAAATAATTTTCCATGAATCATGAAATAAAAATTGTATATGATAAAAAAAACAAATTACATCTATATCCAATATTAAATTTCTTGGAATATTCATTGATGATATAATGAGCTTGAAATACCACATTGAATATCTTAGTTCAAAACTAAGTGCAGTCTGCTACATACTAAGATCGTTTAAACCATACACATCCATAAATACTTTAAAAATGGTTTATCACTCTTATTTTAATTCTGTTATAAATTATGGTTTACCCCTTTGGGGTAATTCATCCCAAAGTATAAAAATTTCTAGAATGCAAAAGATTATAATTAGAATTATGTTTGGATGCAGAAGGAGGGATTCGTGCAGAAACTTATTTAGAGAATTAGAAATCTTGCCTCTGGCATCCCAGTACATACTATCTCTCATGCTCTTTGTGATAAAAACAGAAACAAATTCATAGTAAATTCAGAGATTCATAGAATAAATACCAGACAGCAAAATAATCTCCATCAACCTCTTGTAAATTTGAGTAAATATCAAAAAGGAGTTTATTGTTTAGGAACAAAGGTCTATAATAATCTACCACAACATATTAAGGATATATCAAGTGACACTAAGAGTTTTGAGGTACAATTAAAACAATTTTACATTTACGAGTACATTCATTTTATTCATTACAGGAATATTTCTGTGATACATCTTTTTAAGATGCAAGTAGCTGTCTTGCTTTACAAATAAAAGAAGACAAGATTGGCAGTCTGTGTTTGGTTTTTAGTTGCTGATTTTAGATATACACAATCTTTATATCACTGTATACTACTAGTCTTTATTTCAATTTATTATACTATTAATGTATGCTATTCAAAACTCATTAATGACATTGTGTCATTATTGAATTTTGAATTAATAAGGGTTGGATAAAACTGTACAAATTGTATAAGGTTTGCCATTGCTCTTATTACTAAAATTAACTTGTTTTATTATATTGTATATGTTTATCAGTATTGTATTACAAATGTGTATGCTACTGGATGACAGCTGTAATTCTTAGTTGTGACTGTAACTAGGACGATCTCCACATCCACATGAGAATGTACTCTCGACAGGATTTATGGAAGGTGAATAATGAAATGAAATGAAGTGATTTTACTTTCAGATTATGACCAGAATACATGTGTACCATGTGAACCAAACTGTGCCAGCTGTCAGGAACGACCAGACCATTGCACCAGTTGTGACCATCATCTTGTTCTTCATGATAACAAGTGTTATGCAGCATGTCCCATGTATACCTATGAGACAGAAGATTATGGGTATGCTTCCTTAAATGAATCTGCATTATGTACTACTAGAGGCAATGTAAAAAATAGTGAAATGAAGTGTAATGTTGGTAATACTCTGTTATTCAGTGCATATGATGTATTTTTTTTATAAACATAGCGATGAGATGGACAGATTCTGGTAAATCCAGTTGCAAATACATTTTCCTATTTATTATGCATTCTTTGCTCAGAATGTATGAAGTGAGGTTGTGCTCAATTAGCCATTCACTCCTGCTTGCTGGACATGCACACACACAGAGAGCTATACAAGATGGTTCAAATATGAGCAGGACTGATTTTTTTTTGTAAACAAGCTGCACTGCACAGCAGCTGTGCGACCTTGAGAGAGTGAAGCCACAACCTCTACCCTCCCTCCTCTTAGGGTTAGAACCTGTTCAGTCCTGTCTGGAAGTTGCTAGAGTGATGAGAGAACAGAAGGTACCGCGGAGTGTGGAACAACGCATTGTGATCAAATTCCTCGTTGGAGAAAACGTCCAGTCCACTGAAATTCACCACAGACTCCAACAACAGTATGGGGAAGAGTGTCTCTCATGGACCCATGTGTTTGAGTGGTGTAAGTGCTTCAGAGAGGGCAGAGAGCGAGTGGAGAATGAACTGCATGATCGTTGGCTGCAAACATCCATCATCGAGCCGAACATTGATCGTGCAGACGTGCTTATTCGTGAGAATAGGCACATCACTATCAAGGAACTTGGAGTAAGATCCGACCCAAGTGGAAGACAGGTGGAAAGCGGGTAGCCTTCCTTCAAGACAATGCACGCCCCCATATGGCCAAAACAACAATGGAAACCCTTTGGAAATTGAAATGGAACCTTCTGACACATCCGCCATACAGTCCCGACTTGGCCCCAAGTGATATCTACCTGTTCGGAAGGCTCAAATCAGACTTGCAAGGCATGTGGTTTGTGGACAACAATGCCATCATCCAGACTGTTCGGGAGTGGATACGCCGCCAACCACAAGTCTTTTTTTGGGGGGGGGCATCAGGATGCTTCCAGAAAGTTGGAAAAAATGTGTTGACTCCGGAGGGGAGTACGTTGAAGACTGACATGCGCAAGTAAGTGTTTGGCAATTATGTTTTTTTTTTTAAATCAGTCCCGGTCATATTTGAACCACCTAGTATATGTGCACACTCATGCACGCACACACACGTACTGGACTTTAGTCCACCCACAGAGATGCAGACGGTCAACATAATAAACAAACCCACTATAACACAGAAATTACAAATGTTGTCTGTTACCTGGAGAATGTTCACACCTAATATCAGTTACATTGTTACCATTTATTTTTAAAGAAAATCTTATTCAGTATGAACTTGAAAATAAAATTTCATAAATGTAATCGCTAAAAATATAAGTGGCCCCTGCTCTTACAAATAATTACATTCCTATAGGGAGTTCATGAAGCAGAGTTTCATATTGTGGACCACCCTGTAGGAACACTGCTATAATTTGGAAAGGGGATCCATTGACCAAGAAAAATAGGGAATTATGCTAAAAATGAGACATATGAGATTATGCTATAACCGTTAGAAATGCTATTATGCTATAAAAATGCCAGTAAGTAATTCTTTTAATAAACATTCCTCTGCATATCAGCCATGATTATTTTTGTATAAACAACAAAATTGTTAGAAAGGCAGAAAACCCTATGCAAGATTCACATGAAAGAGGATGTAAGGCAAACTGTCTAGGCAGTGTTGCATTTGTTTGTTTCCATTTTTGTTCAGAATGGATTTTGATGTGATTTTACATTAAATGATAAGCCAAGCACTTTATTGGAGAAGTTCAAATGAGTGAAACTTTCAATATGAATCTTTTTTAGAGTGAGACTATCCGTAATAGTCATCCCTAAGGCATGTTTTCTGCTACTGAATTGAACTTATTTACACAATTTCTTCTGAAATAATTACAAAATATGGTATAATCCTACAGAACTTTAAACTGCACTCTCTTGATGGCAAGTAGTATGATGCTTGTTTCTGTATAAACCCTAAAGACCGTTTTAGAGAACATATACTGTCTTTCTTGCTTGAAATATTGTGTTCATATTATGTTTTTTCATTATGTATTCATGATAGGTCTCTTTTTTTGGTTAAATATGTTCTATGTTACATGTCTGTTGAATTTCTGGTGTCTGATTTCTTATCTGTGTCATCAGCATCAGAACCTTCATCATTATATGAACCAATGAAAGGCAGATTATGGAGACAAATATTAAATGTTAATTTTTGAGAACATTTCTGTGAGCTGAGAGTAATGCACAGCAAGTTGAGGTGACTTGACAGCCATGGTGAAGGAAACATCTAGGGTAGATGACCTGAACAAACATCTCATAAGCTCAGAAGCAGAGAGATGGTAGCCCCACCACTGCAGCGCATGGCCAAAGAGAACTTTCTCCTACTGATAAGCCTCAAAGTTAAAATTGAAATAACTTTATAAGGCTCAGATATTGGAAGCTAGAACAGATGATTTGCCCAATCCTTGAAGTTGTTGTTGTTGTTGTTGTTGTTGTTGTTGTTATTATTATTATTATTATTATTACTGTTGTTGTCGTTGTCATTACTACTACTACTACTACTACTACTACTACTACTACTACTACTACTACTACTACTACTGTCTTCAGAGATGTGACACTTTGTAGTTTGGTAGATAGGAATCTGCTGCCTCCATCTTCAAACTAGAATAGTCTTCCTTTTAGCTGAAGATGGAGGCAGTAGATTCGTTTGAAACACTGATAAGCATCTACCGGACTACATGGTATCATGTCTTATATATCAGTTCCCAGAAGACATTAATCTTCATATTCACTACTGTAATGACCTCAAATCATAGGAGTTTAGCTTCATTTGTGAGGTACTGTGAAGAGTACTGTTCTGGGATGTGACACTGTAGAGTCTGGTTGAAGAGTGAACCAAGCACATAGAACTTTCTGTTTGCTTGTTGCTTTCTTGATTTACTCTTGGATCCTGAAGATGGAGTTAGTACATTCCTCCAAAATGTCAGTGAACTTCTATCAGACTTTGTGGCATCACATACTAGAAGGCGGTGCTCTTCTTGGTTTCATTCTTTTTTGGTCATTTGCTATAAGTTACACACAATCTGTTCATTTAATGCTCCAGTTTATGTAAGAAAACAAACACTTACAGTTGTTCATCATGTCACTCATCATGTGAGACTTGCAATGGGTCCAGTGAGACACAGTGCATCACGTGTCGGCCAGGCCGCTATGCTCTGTCAGGAACATGTTCAAATGTTTGTCCTGATGGATATTATGCTGACAAGAAGCGGCGTGAGTGCCTGAAGTGTCCTGTAGGATGCGCCACCTGCAACAGCATTGTCTGCTTGGCTTGCACTGAAGACTGGGTACTTAACAAGAAGGGAAGATGTGTTCCTGAAGGCAGCAAACACTGTGACTCAGGTATGTTAACTTAATTACATGGATGAGCAGCTAATATCAGTGGTTGTTTCTCATTTCACAAATGTTAGTAGTGTTAGATGAATGTAAATAATTGTGATAGGGTTGATAAGACAGGGGTTAAGCAAGTTTGCATAGTGAATAGCTCCACTATAAATCAACAGCTGGCTTGGAAATAGTAAATTAAGGGGTGAAATTATCTTCCCTAATATAAATATAAACCTACTGCTGCTGCTGCCACCACTGCTACCACTGCTGTTACTACTACCATTACTACCACCATCACTACCACCATCACTTTTATTAAACATATGAGTATTAATCTCTGTTATGTGCAGCGGAATTCTATGAGAATGGGCGATGTCGGCCATGCCACTCAACATGTGAGACGTGTGATGCTGCTACAGAGACAGGGTGCCTTACCTGTCCATCACCACTTGTTCTACATAATTCACAGTGCCTGGCTGTGTGCCTTGATGGGTCATACATGGAGCAGGGTGTGTGCACTCCTTGCCTGCACACCTGTCACCGCTGTGTGTCCCGCATCAACTGCACAGCATGTACTCCAGGCCTTCATCTGCAGAGTGGCGAGTGTCGAGCCACTTGCGCTGCAGGGTAAGAACACAGTAACTACAGTAACTGCTCTAAAAATCAAAGAAGTTGTTAAATGTGTAGCAAATGCTACCTTTTGATGCTGTCATATAAATAGTATGAAGTTGATGGTTTCAATAAAAAAAGATTGGTAAATACATTTGAAATGCATCTTCCCACATTTANTAACAATTCCCAGCACATTCACAATGTTATTGCTTATCAATTTACAATATGCAAATGCTACCTTTTGATGCTGTCATATAAATAGTGTGAAGTTGATGGTTTCAATAAAAAAAAGATTGGTAAATACATTTGAAATGCATCTTCCCACATTTACACAACAAACACTATAAATAAATTAAGGGCTAGTGAAGATATTGTAATGACAGGTAACGGCCAATCTCTTCTGGGATCCACAATTTTCATATGTCGTCTCCTTCGATGTCTGGTGGCGTCCTGCAGCCAGATTTCGGTCCCTATGCCGTTTCCTCAGTCCTCTGATCAGCATGATTGCAGCATCTTCCCTAGGGACTTCTTGATACTCCCCTACGGACTGCATCATTCCTGAATCGGGCTCAGTCTTCTCTGTATCTGCCTCCACCACTTCACAGCAGGCAGTCATCTCTTTTCACCATGCATTCCCATTGGCTTCCAACCTGTTTTCTCACATGTATTTCATTTCTGCTTGGATGGCCTCTTTGATTTTAATGTCTTCCTTTACTACCTTCAGATTGGCATCCATGTTCTCTTAATGTTCCGTTTCGGGTTTCACTCTCATCTGGTTGGCGTCTGTCTTGTCGTGGATGGCTTCCAGCCTTGCTGCCACTTCTTCTCGTTCGGTTGTCCATTCAGACTTCCATTTTTCTCTGTCCGCTTTCCATTTGGCCATCCTTTTTCTGAAGTCAGAATTTATTTTCTTTCGGTCGGCTTCCCACTTCGCAATCATCTTCTCTTCATAGCCTTTTCTTTCAGCTTTTCTTTCAATTTCCCTTCTCTCCATCATTTCATGTCTGCCCTTCTTCTTTGCCCAGTCAGCGTGTGACTTCTCTTCTGTTCTCTTCAGTTTCAGCTTGCAGCCTGGTCAGCAATGGTTCCATCTTTGTGTAGTGGGCTTGCGCCTCTTTTAGGTTGGTACTTATGAGATCCTCTGCTCACTTATCATTTCCCTTATTTGTTGCATTGTTTGTTCCATTTTTCTAGCATGGTGTTATAATTGCACAGTTCACTCTTCTGTCCAATAATCACTTCAGTCCATCAACTCCAATCCAATTATGGTGTATATAAGTCTGTAACCACTTTCTGACACCAATGTAATGTGTATCTTGGTAATGTGACAGTAAATAATCAGTTCTGGATTTGATAACTCAATTCATTCGATCATTTCCACATCATAAATACAATTTGATATTACACTAACACATCAACTATTGAACTGCCTTGAACAAGGACTGTCTGATGACTCTTGAACAGTGTTCACTGCTTAGCAACAGATATCATGTATTGTTGTCATGCATGTCCACCCATGCATTGCCTAGCAACAGACCCCCTATATTGTTGGATGCTTGTTGGTTAGAACATGTTTATGTATTTGACTCCTAGAAATGGCCCAGTCTGTCACAATATTTTTGCCCTTATAAATATTTAGTGTAGGCATCACATGTGCACAGAAAAATAAACAGATCTTCTGTTGAAATGGTTATGAAAATTCTCCAATACAGATGAGAATTGAAACAGTTTGACGAATAAATTCTGTAATATGAAATTTAATCAGATAGTTAATCCATTCTTGAGGTGTTTCATATGTACAGATGGGGTATGCAACATGTCTAAAATGTGTACTCACTGTTACCACAAAAAGTGGAGCAAATTCTGTCTGAATTTCTGGCTGTTGGCTACATTTCTAATAAATGTCATGACTGATAAAATTGGAACCACTGTTAACACTCATGAAAGCGGAATTAAGTTCCCTGTTCCTTCAAAGTAAACATAAAAAGTATGTAATAACGTTGTATGTAGAATACAAACACAAAAAAGTGACAGAGATGGACAGCAGCTGTAATGTGGAAGCTGAACAATTGGGTTCAGATCCCACTAGAGCCCAGCCACTAGCAAAAGTGGATTTCTTGGCAAAGAAGCTGCTAATTTTGTTCCATGCTTGCACCTTACACTGATGATGATGTAGCATGTAGGCCCATTACTGGGTAACAATCTCGAAACAAACAATGAAACAACATTCGCTGCTAGGCAACAGATTCTTAATAAGCAAGTATACAGAGCCATTACTGGGTAATGTCTTCACAGACAACATGTTCTCATGGAAATGCTTGGAGTACAATAATGAACAGTATTCTCTATGCAGTCCATGCTGAGATGTTGTAACCAAGACATATTTAGAAGTTAGTTGTAACAGAGTCAGTGAAGAAAAGACTTGGTCAATGCAGTAGAAAAGTCCCCCACTGTTAGAAGCCATTACCAGGAAATGACTAGTGAAGACACTGCAGGCTGGAAAACACTCAGTGTGTGCTCTAGTGATTTGATAAATATAGAAATTAGTTAGTTGTAGTTACGACCTGTAGGAGATCGGTAAATCCAATCTACATTCAAAAACTCTGTCAAGAGTCAAAGAATCATAAAACCAAATACTATATCTGGAAAAGCAGGGTTCGCATGGAAAATTCCTGGCTGTCAGGTATGTAAATTTTTATAAAAGTTGAAAAATTTCAATCCTTAGTACCTGTAAGGTTAAAGTCTGTGTTGCACTGTCATCAAATGAATTTAAACTTCATTTAAATTTCAATTTTAATGCCCTGTAGGTACTACAGTGACCGTGGTGTGTGTTCCAAATGCTACCTGAGCTGCATGACATGTAGCGGGCCACGACGGGACCAGTGTGTCACATGTCCTGGGGGGTGGCAGTTAGCTGCAGGAGAGTGTCATCCTGAATGTCCTGAAGGATTTTTCAAGTCAGATTATGGTTGCCAAAAATGTCACCACTATTGTCGTACCTGCAATGGTAAGTACAATGTAAAAGGTCCCTGTAACAAGCTGTGGAGGCCCATAGAATTGTGAGACATCGAGGCTCCTACATTTTCTGGACAATCGGCTCATGGATGGGGGTTAGCTTTATACACAAGCCACCCTTTACCCCAGGAAAATTCCTGGTACTCATTTCTCTTAGAGGCTGAGTCAACCCCAGGGCCATTGTGGCGAGAAGGATTAGGTCAATTGAAAAATTCAAGGACATCAATATTGAATGAGCAACCTCCCAGCTTGTAACATTGTGCCTCAACCAACTATGGTACTGCTGAATATGCAATTACTAGTAAACCCACTCATTTTTTATGTGCATTGCTGGAATTGATAAATAGCAGAGCTTTGGTTCATTTTTGATTGCCTGGAATCTTATGTATTTGGGAATTGAAAGTAAGGCTGTTAAATGCTTAGATCCAACATGGCTGAAGTGTTCAGCAAGTGGACTAGTATTAGGCTGTTGGATATGATGGAAAAAGTGTACACAGTCACAAAATTAGCCATGTTAGCTTAGAGGAACTGGGGTTTGATTCCTGGTAGGGATAGGGATATACAGGTTCGCTCTAAGGGCCACCCAGCCTCCTATCTAGTGAGTACCAAGGGACCCTTTCCCCAAGGGAAAAGCTGCCAGGACATGAAACTGGCCAGTTTATCACCACTTTTTCCCTCAGTATAATAAGAACTCTTAAAATGTATACTTCCTTCATTGAGTCACAGTCATTTTTCATACCCACCATACAATGCAGTGCACTCCCCATAACAGACATTTACATTACTGAATTTTGCCTTTACAGACCATGTAACCATAAAATTATTGCTAAGAACTATCAATTAACCCCAACAGAGATTTGATATATATACTATTAAAATTTGGGGGCACACAGTAGCGGTAGTTCATTGAGGCACTATGATATGAGCCGGAAGGTCGCGGGATCAAGTCCCAATGAGGTCGTTGGATTTTTTCAATTGACCTAATCCTTCCAGCCGCACTATGGCCCTGAGGTCGACTCAGCCTCTAACAGAAATAAGTATCAGGAATATTCTTGGGGGTAAAGGGCAGCCAGCGCATAGGGCTGACAACCTTGCCGCCATCTATTAGCCGAATGTCTAGAAAAATGTGGGAACCTCAACATCTCACAACCTTATGGGCCTCCATGGCCTGTTACAGGGATACCTTTACTTACTTACTTACTTACTTACTTACTATTAAAATTTCTTAAAGACAAATTACAAAATAACAACAAAATCAATCAAAATTTGATTTTTTTAAATAATTATTTGTGAAAAGAATTTCAGATTGCATATGCATGTGCATTGGCAATATGGCTGGCCATTAGCTAGCCTGTACTTGTGTCATTGACATGAGTAAGGGTAAGATGTAGTTGAAGTTTCAGAGTTTATTTTTGTGCACCTGCTGTTATTACTAATAGGTAAAAAATAGCTTATATTACAACTATGAGCTGAAAATTTTATAGTTAGCATTATTGAATTTAACCAGATAGACACACTTTCATGAGCATACTCCTTCTGTAAAATGAGGGGTGCTGTACCTACTGTTGTGTTCCTGTGTTTTGAGGATGGCAAACATGTGCCAAGCAGTAGCAGGTGTGATATATGTTGGGACTAAATAAGTAACAGAAAGTACACAAAGCAGTCGTTATTTTAGAGAACGCAAAATGTTTTATGAAGTAGGTATTTTACACTTTCTATGTAAGGGTGGTAAGCTCAGTTCACTTTGAGGCTTCAAATTTTGCCTGCTTGAATGTACTGTGACATGTCGAGCTATGGATGACGCCCCTCCCCCCCGCCAGTTGTCGCGTATCGGGCGTATATCGCGACAAATAACTTCTCGATGTATTTGATGTAGTGAATTTTATTTCACATTCGCACTTACAATCACCCAAATTACAGATTTACAATTACTGCTATCTGCAGTATCACAATTAGTACATTCCAGATGCCAGAATACAACTGACTGGTTGCTGGCTAACTCGGAACTAACTCGGAGGTAGCTCCAGGACTAACTAACTGTGAATAGCCTTCGCTGCTCCTTATGTAGCCTCGATCGGACAATACGGAAAACGGCCACGTAATAGGCACCCTTGTTGCCTGGCGCTGTGTTGCTAGTAACGCTAGTGGAAGTAACCGCTGTTACTACTTGGTGACGTCACCGCTGTTGACTCGCGTTGCCTAGCGACCAGGATGCTAGGACTCGGCTAACATCGGCTCACTTCGGCTTCGCTCGGCGCATCACGCCTGGCAGGGGGGGGGAGGGACGTCATACATAGCTCGACATGTCACACTACAGTATGAAGTGGGCACTTGACACTGAAGGAAAAGTGAGTTCTATTTCCATGTTGTCGTCCAATGTACACACTCAGCGGAGTCACTGTGTTCCAGGCATTCCATCACACACACACACACACAGACACACACGCTGTTTTGTCTAGATGCAGCTAGTGAATGTTATGGCACTCCCACTCAGGTTGAGAATATTCTAAATGTTTTCATACTGCTTTATTACGTGTTACATAACCACTGATTATATTTCCTGAATAGCACCAATGTATAATATGTAATACTAGATTTAGAGGCCCTATTAGACATGTTTATAAGGTAAAATGACAATTGTTGGTAACAATTATGACACAGTATAAAAGAAATTCAATTGTTTGTTACAGGTGAGGGTCCCCTGCAGTGCACATCGTGCCCGCCCCACTCAATGCTGGATGGTGGTCTGTGTGTGGAGTGTCTAGGGTCACAATACTATGACCCCCCAACGCAGCTCTGCAAGTCATGCCATAAGAGCTGCCGTTCATGCAGTGGCCCTGGTCCATTCAGCTGCCTGGCATGTGTATTGCCCCTACACCTGGACCGACTAAACAACCAGTGTGTCCCATGTTGCATTTCGCCCAATCAGCAGGATTGCTGTCATTGTGACAAGACTACAGGTAGCTCTGTAACCACAAAAGGTGTAACTTCAGAGTCTTTAAAAAATTTGAGTGTGATGTCAATCCATAGATTATGGTCTTGTGGATTGTGACACTGTGTAGTACTGTAGGTGGATAGCATTGTTCTGGAGCAACATGAAGCCTCCATCTTTAGAGTTGATGAAGTGAAGCCTGAGCCAATAGGAACATCAAAATATTCCGTGCCCCCTCTTCAGCATAACTATTCAGGTTTCAAGGTTCCTGTTCATCATTTCTGTAGCCCCAGGCTGTCCACTGTCTGCTGGAACTATGTGACCACCTCTGTGCACCTGCCACAAGCATGACTACATTCTCACCACACACTGTTCAGCATTCAAGATACAGGCAACATGCTGCTCCACAAATTGGTATCCAGTACACAGTGTCACATCCTAAAAGATCAAATATAACAGTCATCAAAATGAAGACCAGAAGATTCCATCTTCATCCTCTTAATGTGGTCTGTGTGTGTGTGTGTGTGTCAGTCAGTCAGTCAGTCAGTCAGTCAGTCAATATACATGTATCATTGTGTGGCACTGTATGTGAGTGTGTGAGCACCAGTGTCCTGGCATGTAAATGTGTTTGTGGATTAATGTGTTCATTTGTCTGTGTGTGTGTGTCAGCATACTTACATGTGTGTTAAACTGAACATTCTGGTCAAGTGGGTATCTACTCTGCTACATATAGAAAAGATCCAAAGTTCAAATCACTACAACCAAATGATAGGATGGAACCTGAAATTAGGCCATGTTGGCTTCCCTCCACAACCTTTCCAGTTCATTCACTGATCCACCTGCATCATGAAACGTTTTCATAAGCATTGATTTATTGGCAGAAGACTTTCACTGAAGTGAAGTAAAACCTACAATAAATATTGTAGCATGTAGACCCATTGTTAGGCAGTGACTGCAAAATAAGCAACTGTACAACAGCCATTGCTAGGTAATGGCCATAACACATTTGTAACACACAACAGTGGAGTAAGTGGGAAGTACTATTGTGTACATGGTCCATGCGATAGATATGTGATGCAACAATAGAAGAATTGTTGGGAGAGTTGTTTTCTATGCCGTCTGTGCCAGGACAAGTCCAGAGTTTAGTTGTGAGACCAGTCCTCTCATCAGAGAGGGCACCCCACAATAAGAAGACCTAACTGTCAAACAGTAGTAAATATCTGGTCATGAGCCCCAGATTGGGCTCAACACCAAGATTGACTGACTGACTGACTGACTGTCAGTCGTAATGTGACTTTGACTTGAGTTTAGTTGTTAGACAGTCGCCAGCCAGTAAGGACGTGAACACAGAAGCTGAAGAAGCTGAGGAAGCTCTGGCATGGTAAGCCATTACCAGACAATGACTGGTGAAGATATAGCAGACTGAGAAGACTTTGTACTTGCTGTAGAGAACTGCAGAGTGTGTGAATTGGCATTAGCGCCATGGTTATTTGTAGTTATGTCCTGTAAGAGTTCAGCAAACCCTGTCTATAGTCACTCATACACGTAACAATAATGATACTGCTCACAAATGTCAATATAGAATGTATATCATATGAGGCTGTGATGGAGTAGCACACTTCTCCTCATCCTCATGCCCCCAAGGTAGAGGGCACTACAATGACTAATAACATATATATGAGACGTCCTTCATAATTCAATTTAATGAATATTCAATGTTAGGTAGACTGATTCATGTATGTACATCACTTTTAATGGGAATTTGTTTTGTCAAAAGGAGTTTTAAGGATATACTGCAAACACCCTCCCGACAAGTCCAAAACCAGTCAGAGCCAGGTACTATAAAAGTATAACCATATCATTACAGTAGACATAAGAAGACAAGCATATTCTGACATGAGTATCCTTGTTATCAAATGGAGTTGATACAGCATCACTAAATACACCAAGAAAAATAATGCAAGTACAAAATGAGTTGCTTCTTAATTGCAGGAGAATGTCAAAATTCATCGCCAGCTGGGAAACGCAGGATTGCTGCAGGAGCAGAACAGGGTGGTGAAAGCAATATGGCTGCAATTCGTGGAGGTACAGCAACTGACTTTCATGTCCACCAGTACACACCATTTACTACTCTCACTGCCATGGCAGTAGCAGGCTGTGTTGCTGTTGTTTTGCTCTTTGGTATCATTTTTGCTGTGCTACAGGTAAGATAATTTCATTAATGTTTGACCTTTTTATGCATTTAAATATAAACACAGGCTCATACAATCAGTTCAGAATAAATGAGTGTTTTGTGTCCTATTTCATAACTTTCAACCCTATTTTTGTCCATATCTGAAGTGAATACAATACAATATTAATAATGAATACATACATACATAGCATTCCATAGTATGTATGTATGAATACATCACACATCAAAGTCACATAAAATTTACACAGTGATTTACCACTATAATATAGCAGCCGTTATAAGGAACATAATAATAAAAAATAGAGGAGACCAAAAGAAAAATGTCAATATTAAAAATTGCAAACCAAAAGATAATCAGCAAGCTAGTCATCAATCCAACATCAGTTGAAAAATTCTTGAAGAGAATAGAAAGCGCTGCACAACAAATAGTTTTTTGGTTTCCTCTTAAAAACATTAAAATTTGTAACGTTTTTCAATTCAAGGGGAAGGCAATTAAATGTTTTAGTTCCCATATTAATTACACCTTTTTTGTAATGAGTGGTATTACAAAATTGGATATACAAATTATGTTTATGAATGGTATTGTAGCTGTAAATGTCAGAATACTGAGTTCTGTGTATCTTATTCTTTATTATAAAACATAAAATCTCAAATATATATAATGAGGTAACAGTTAAAATCTTAAATTCACCAAACTCTACAGGATACTCTATTATTAACATCTTTAATCACTCTTAGACTCTTTAATCTAATATGTCATGCATTTTATGGTTCCAAGTCAAAAGAAGTACTTAGAAATTAAATTCACAGTTGCTTGCAAAATGTATGAAGTGACACGGTAATAATATAATTGGGGATGTTTATGTTCTTACTAGACAAAACACTATATTAATAGCACAGTGGACCTTTGCATTGTTTGAGGTAAATTTTATATATAAATTTTCAAAGTTGGCTCTGCTTCTGACTTCATGTGTTTGTGATTATAAGATTTCTTGTTTCTTTAGATAAATGGCAATTGTTTGGCTTGAACCTGGGCATTTTGAATAATAGGCTAGTATGTTAACCACTAGTATAGTATTCATGTGGTCCCATATTTGATCCCAATCATCATCACTGATCTAAGAATATAAAATCTGTCAGTATAAGACAGGAATGGAGCAAATTTCTGAAACATTGCATATGCTTCAGACAGTGGAAAAATATTTGTATAGTGGGTCTATCATTTTCACAGACCTTTAGATAATCAACAGACAAAGCAGCTTAAGAATGGGCAGCTCTTTTATGAGGTCTTAAACTCAAAAGTTGAGGTTCCTTTATCTAAAGGTATAGATCTGAATATGAATACCACGATTCTATGTGCTGGATTAGATAGCATATGTAGGATTTGAGGTTCTTACAGTGGTGGTTATGAGGAGTTCCATCTTCTAGGAAATAATGCTGTGTAATCTGTTGACAGTCAACCAACGTTTTGGAGGAATGTGTCACATCCATCTTCAGGCTTGAAGAATAAGCCTAGCAAGAAAACAGGGCATTATATCCCAGAAGACAGAACTACACGTGACAGTATATTTTGCTTACTATCACAGGATTCTGCTTGGAATTGCTCTGTTGGAGCCCATAATTTAGCTTCAGAACATACTTTCTGCTTTTACTCTATGTGCTGATATGAATTTATCTCTGTTCAGATGAAATCTCAACCATGGAGGAAGTCTTGGCACAAGGGAGAAGGTTATGAGAAATTATCTACTCTCCAGTGTAAAGTTGACATTGATAAAGTGTCACTCACTCAGGAAGAAGAATACACCGAGGATGATGAAGATGAAGATCAGCTGTTCACTAAGACATAGACATGGCACCAATTTGGCACAACTTGGCAAATGATTGTTGACATTATAAACGAGCTAGGTGAGACACTTTTGATAAGCAGTCTTTGTCCATAGTAAATTTGTAATTTGTCAGCAGTGTGGGTGGGGATGTGTGTTTCACTGTTTTGTACCAACTGGCTTCCCCCACATTTAGTTATGCTAATGCCAGTGACATTCAGTGGATACACTTATGGTGATCATGTTCACATATAGGAGAAAACACCACTGGATTTTTAAAATCATTTAGTTTTCTCTTATTGTGTCTGTGTCATGCCATTACACTACAAAAATACCATGAAAATAAAAATTATATTAATAAAAGGGAAAAACATAAGAACTTTCATACAAAAACATAGACCACAATCAATAGTTGGTGCTACCGTGGATGTCTAACAGTGCACACAATGCTGAGAACAAGTCCCATGACAAAGGCACCATATACATGAGAAGGGACTCCCTTTTTAAGTGCCTGTAACTGAACTGAATAAGTGAAGCAGCCAGTTGATGGACAAAACATCGGCCACTGCAATTTTTGCTGTCCTGACTTCTTTGTTTTCTGGAGGATGCAAGGGAACATTAATTAACACAAGATTGTCTTTCAAGACAGGTCAGATATGATGAAGTGAGAATCATATCACTTCTTACAATTCAAAATCCTGCAACTCTTCTGCATTTAGAGTTTCAAACATGAATTTCTGTGACAAATTATAATTTAAAAAAATATTTGTATCTTTTTCTTTTAGGTCTTTTAGTTATGACTTTAAAGTAACTATTTTAATTATGAATACCTTATTTACATTTTATCTTTACTTCAGTAACAAGTTGTAACATTATGTTCTAAATCACTCTCAGTACTGTTTAAAATGCCATAAGTATCAACTTTCTTTTACAATAGAAAAGCGAAAAGAGGATATGATACTGTAAAAACAATTTTAATTAACAGTTTTCATAACACGTATAGTCTGTGTGAATGAATTTGCATCTTTTTGCAAAAGAAATTGAAATATCCATCAACTGATTACTTGTGATATATTGTGGATTTAGCAAGAAATATACATTACATGTATATGTTGGTGAAGCTTTTGTGAGTGATTGGTTTCTCTTAGCATTTACTGTGTAGAAGAATTGTTCTTAAATTATTGTTTTAAGAAGCAGCTGTGTGATAAAGACAGCCTAGTTCTACTGTACTTGCTGCATCAGGTTGGACGTGGAAACTGCAGAACATGGACATTGTTACAGTGGAAATTGGCATGGTGCTGAGATTTCGTGGCCCATTCTTTATTAATATAAGACTGACTAAAGATGGTGTCATTAGTGAACTTCCTGCAAGAACATGACCGTGCTTTTCACCAATTAATACTAACAGTCATCACTGCTCTTCAAATGTTTTAATGAAGAATCATATCCTATTATATCTAGAATGTATATTTTACATTGAAGTATTATTTGAAGCTATCTGCAGACAATAGCCATGACTTTCCCACAGAATCTTCCTCTACTGCAAAACCCTTAATCTGTAATGTGTGTTTGTTTATATGCTGACTTTCTTAAATATGTGGAACTTCAGATTATGTATGACTGTATTAATTCTAGATGGGGAAAAGCCTCTTAGATTGATGTAGTTGTGGCAGAAACACAAGTACAAATGTTACCAGTAAAAGGAATATGGAATAATCAAGAAAAGGTTATTTATATATGGAAATATTTTTAGAAACCCATCAATATGATAAGGGAAGCTACAAGCACTCAAGTATATAAAAGTTTTGAGGTTTTCGCAGTGGTGAGTGTCAAGTTGAGGTCCACTGGTTTGTGACACTGTGTAGTCTTGAAGGGGGGATACCAATGTTTCAGAGAAACATGCTGCTTGAATTTCCAAGATTGAAGTTTATAAGGTTAGGTACATACATAGGTTTCAAGGAAGATGGTCACTCAGGTTAACAGGAGGGCCTTACATGTATTCTGCATGTATAACCAAACAGATTCCTTGCCCTACATACTTCAACTTTGAAGATGGAGGTACCATTTTCCTGTGAAACGTCTGTATATGCACACAAGACCACATGGTGTTACAACCCAGAAGATCACAATCTGAACTTATATACATATTCTAAACATTTGTTCCACATGAAGGCCTATTGAAGATTGCAGGTTTTATTACCTCCAGATGACAGAGGACAAGCTGTAGACCTTTCTGAGTGCTTTTTACTGTTTCTGTGGCTTGATACATTGTGGAGGGACTGATGCATAAGCAGGACCTTTGTAAGAGAACTGTTCAGTAATATTTTAGAGTATATGTGGGTTGGTTCCGTAAATTGCGTAAATTTGGATGACCCAGAAGTAGCATTGAATATGTTTCTAATATTTCCTTCCAGTTTGCTCTAAATGTTGCTTTTTTACCACCACCTTTACAGTATAATGTTTGTAAAAGGAAATTCTGTAAATTGTTTTGTAAGGCAAGCATTAGCTCAAGAAGAGTTTTATATTTTGAGGTATGAAGCCTACAGGCATTAACTTCTTGTTGGTGTAAAAGATTTAAAGCTGTTATCAATTGTATTACCTTTTGCTTCAGTATATTCTGTTTAGATTAATGGTACTGTAGTCCTAAAGTTTGTGACTATGGTATAGTATTGTCATGAGAAAATTTATTTTGGACACTGTACATTTTCTGATCAAAAAGCAACACATTTTCAAAGTAAAAGGATGCCTTTTCTGTAAAGACTGAAACAGAACCAACATCTGAAATGTTCTGTCATCAGTATCAATGTTGTTTATTATCACACCATTTTTGTTTCAAAATCTAAGTGATGGTAGTTGATAGAAAGGCTGCTGATTGAGAACTGTGGATGTAGGAAAATTGTTAAGCCTAACACAAGGTATCAGATATCAAAGCCTCACAAGTGTGAGTACTAAGTCTATGGTCTTCTGGGATATAATGTAATGTTTTTTGATAGATAGGTACCAACATTTTGGATGAATTTACTATATCCATCTTCAGGGCTTCAGGCTGACACATCCCAGAAGACTGAAATCTATTGCAAGGTATTTCCTCAGAATCCTAAAGTAAAATTTGATGCTTAGATGCTCCAGAAGCTACCCCACAATTTTGTGATTCTGATTTATATAGAAAAGAATGAGTCTTCTGGTAAAATGTAAGAAGACATCATTGCTGATTTTCTTGTACCACTTTACAGAATAATGCCGAGAGGTGGCAAACTGGACCATTCACTGATGACTGTCAATAATACCATGAACAGAAATTAATAGCTATGGTAAGTCTTCAGTGATTATTCCAATCAGTGATCCTTGGAAGAAGTGTAAAGTACTTCAAATTGATTTGTATTACATTTTGGAATTCTTTATTCATTCACAATAATTTAAAATGTTTTAACTGAAATAAGTGTATAAATGAGATGTCTCTGAATTTATAAAATAAATGTCTTACAAAATAAAAAAATTATATTGTGAATTTAAAGATCTGTGTTCTATCAGCTACCAGGCAATATTGAGAATGGTTTTTATCTTTATCAGTAAAGCAGAATCTTAGCTATTATCATCAATTAAGTTTGAAAATCTTTTTCTCTCCTCTTGCTCCCGCTTTGGAACATAGGGCTGATTTCTCATTTTCATGATCATTTTACACATGGTAGGACTCCATGGACGAGTGATCAGCCCATCACAAGGTCTCTACTTAAACACAGAATAAACACATACACATACTAAATATCCATGGCTTGAGTGGGATTCGAACCCACCATCCTGGCTTCCGAGAAAGCGAAGACAGTACATACCTTAGATTCCTTGGCTACTGTAACCGATTAAATTTGAAACTGTGTGATCCTTATACATATACCAGCCCTCTCAGCTGCTGTATTTCCTGATATTTTCCTCAATCCATCTGCATCAGCAGGAGGACAGGACAACAGGTTCCTCCCCCATATATCCTGACTTACCATGCATACTTACCGGTGCCAACATGACAACATACATGAATGAAGCTACCACCTGGGACAGCACATTTACAAATATAGTTCTTTCTTTAACTGAAAATAATTTCTACCGATATTTCTTCATATTTGGTAGTAATCTAAACATGTTATGCAGCAATATAAATGAAAATGTTCTGAGAATCTTGAGCAGCCAGAATAGCTCAGTTGGTATAAGGATGGGCTATGGACTGGATGGCTGGGATTTGATTCCCAGCAGGGGTAAGACTGTTTTCTTCTTCATAGCATCCAGATAGCTTTACCTTACCTTTTGAGTTTTTACAGAATCTTGACAACAATGATGATTTTCATCTCAGTGTCTCGAAATTTCACTTTACTAATGGCGATGAAGTTTTGAGAAAGTTGATCTATTTTTCACTGAGTGATGGGAGGGCAGAATTTCTCATTGGGTGAGGTGGTATTTAAGCCTACACCAACCTTGATAATAATGACATCTTTTTTCTTGGTATCTTTGAATTATGACAATTGGATACAAAGGCACATAACAATTTCATTAATATAGACTGTGACACAAAGTGCATGCCTGAAACATTTGTTTCTCTTCATGTGTTCTTTTTGTTTCCTTCATAAATTTTGCTTCATCCTGATAAATTGTTTCGCTTCACTGTACAGCTTTTTTTGTGTGTAAATTGCTTGTATTTTGTGTACAGGGAGATGATCCTTGGCTATAGTTCCTGTTACTGAAAATATCAATTTCTGAAATCCAAAGAAGTGAAAACCAGATGGTGTAAGTCAATAGATAAATCTGGCAGAATCTTCAAAGGAAGGCTGTGGCTCAAAAAGGGCTGTTTTGCTAATGATGATGGTGATGATCGAGAGGTTCATGGTCATCCGAACACAATTTTATAATTTCTGCTGGTGCTAAAGTTGATGCACACATGAGGATGGAACAATTCTCACAGTAGCATGGAAAATGTTATTGATTATACTCGTATGCTAATCTTGGATGTTTTCAGAAAGGATGAGTTCCAAATAATGGGTTATGATTTGCTTACTTGCTAATAATGACTATATCAGTGATTTTTATTCCAGCACCATTTGTCAAAATAGTCATGGCATGCACTCAAGATTCCCCCATCTATTCCTACCTAAGGCAGCAAGACACTATTGTAGTGACTAATCTAAAAACATTGGCTAATTCATGTTCTTTCTGTTCATCATGCATCAGATATTTACGGTTACAAAACTAGAAAGGTGTACTAAATACCAGAATACACAGAAGTTTCCTAATATGTTGTTTGTGATTTTACATATTTCAATACTAAGAACTTAACACGCTGATTATGCTTTTTTTAATGATCCTAAATCGGACTGTGTGCTCTCTCTGCTGGCAATAGAAAGAACATAAAATTAGAAGTTCCTTCACACTACCTAGATCTTTGTTTTCATGACAGTATTTGTTTAGATTCCAATTCCTGAACCTACACATTTCTACCCTCAAGATGGAGGTGAAATATTCCTCTGAGATGTTGGTATCCACCTATGGGACTACACAGTGTCACAATCCAGAAGACCACAGTCTGAATATCAGCAATCCTTACCCCAAGTGTGTGATATTATATTCCTTAATCAGTAAACAATTGCTGGTACAATAAGGCAGATTAACTTCTAATCCTGGAAGATTATGGAAATGCTGCTTGAGATCAGTAGCCTTCAAATGCTAACTCTTCCTATGTAAAATAACATCTGAAACATACTGCAAGGTCATAGAAAAACTTTTAATTACATAAGAACATGCATGCAGTATGTTATTCATAATTCAATAAATGTTTACTGATACAAAAAGTTGGTACTCAGATCACTGCTTATTGATCAGTCCTTGCACAATCAAATGTCACATAACAAGAAAGCAAAAAGATGAGAAACTGGTCTGTAATCTAATTAACTCAGTTTGGTGTCTTTTTACTTTTTGTTCAAAGTCTCTTTTCTTCCTCTCTAATAAGCTAAAGTGGTTCCCATTTTCTTGTCACTACAAGTGGGAGTTACATGGTACAGGTGGATTGCTCTGAGACTTTAAGCATATGTATGGATCTGTGTGTAAATAATTATATTTGTGTGGGACAACTCACTGTATCATACCTCCATAAGGTAATATCTGTTGTATATAGTAAATGTTGGGAAAAAAATTGTTGTTTTAGAAAATTGAAACAGGGAGATAATATAAATGTTTGCAGTAAAATTAAACCCAGTACACACATCCTTAGTCATGTATAAGCCCAAAACACAAATGGGGCCAATGATGTTCATACTCATATATTATTTGTTTATTGTTTATTTAATGACACTATCAGTATCTCAGACTACATAGTGTCAAATGACGGGATGATTATTGAATACTACATTGGAAAATATGTTAAAGGAAGCAATTATGACTTACTTTGAGGTATTATATCAGCATTTGCCTGGAGAGAGTGAGGAAGACCATGACAAATTTGTTCCAATAGCAAGTCTCCCAGCAGAAATTTGAACTGGACACCTGCCAAACATGTCAGGAGCATTATTGCTTGAACCAACTTGCTCTGTCTTACTATTGAAATGTAGTCTTAACTCTTTGCACATTAACCAGCAACCTTTGCAACAAACTATTCTCCAGCCTGCTGAAAGAGAATTTTACACGTTGATTTCTCCACTTTTATGCATCTGAGCCCAAACACTTAGGTGCACCTCTGGATACCATACTATTCACTTAATTCTTAGAATGTAATCACTATTGTTTGTTTGTGTACTTATGGTTTATTTAAACTGCTGTCAGTATCTCAGATTATATAGTGCCAAATGGTAGTGTGATTGGTGAATAACGAATTGGAAGGCACCAGTCATGGCTTATTTGAAGGTACTGTCCCAGCATTTGCCTGGAGGGATAGAGTAAATCTATGAAAAAACAATAAAAGTCAGGACAGTCAATGTCCCTATCAAGATTCCAATTGAGCATCTCCTGAATACAAATCAGAAGTGTTACCTCTTGAGACATCTTGCTCATTATGTGGTCTCCATGCCATGTGTTCCCCCCTATCAATTTTTGAATGTCTGAATCAATCTTTATAGAACTCTGTGTGTATATCATGCCAGTTGAGCCCATCTCAACAGCATACTTCATAGATCCCTCCCATCAGTCTTGTGTGTCTGCATCTGCATCCCTCATATTGGTACTAGACAATGCCTTGGTAAATATGTTCACCCAACAGTGAATGTACACAACAATAGAAGAATTGTTGGACGTGTCTTTTTCTGTGTGGCACATGTCATATCAAAGGAAAGCAGGCAATTAGTTTTTCCCAGAACTTCACGTTTCATTTAGTAAGTGAAAGTAATAAAGCCATCTGTAACAGACTGTGGAGGGCCATAGGGTTGTGAGAGATCAAGGCTCCCACATTTTGTAGACAGTTGGCTCACAGATGGTGGACAGGTTGTCAGCCTTATGTGCTGGCTACCTTGTACCCCCAGGAAGATTCCTGGCACTCATTTCTGTTAGAGGCTGAGACAACCTCAGGGCCATAATGCGGCTGGAAGGATTAGGTCAAGTGAAAAATCCGGGGACCTCATACAGAATTGAACTGCAACTTTCCAGCTTCTAACATAGTGAACATATATAATTTTTGCCATCAATACAACAATACTTTATTATTTATTTACATAGCACGCACTACATGTTTCGACTTCAAATGAGTCATCTAGTGCTGCAATTTTCTCACTATTGGCAAACTGCAACGTTAACATTCAACGTGTAGATTCAATACAAACAAGTTAGTTTGTATTGAATTTACACGTTAGTTCCTATTTAATTCACAGACTAGGCTTCAGTTAAAATTAACAATAAAATACAATAAAATAAGAATCAGAATTAAAACCATACATGTGATAAAGTCTTATGTATAATAATAGGTTAAATTTAATTAAATGAGTAGGTGATCCTAAATCCACAATTTGATATTTAAAAATGGTCTTTCAGAATGTTACAAGCTGGGTGTAGCTTCGTATTTGTTACTGCAGTAGACCACGCATAGGCTTCATCAGATTTCTACTACTGTTTGCTGCATGGGCTCACCGTGTTAGTATTGCGGCAGTCCTTCACACTCGTGCTCTCCGTGATGGAGCCTTTGTTGTAGTTGTGGACGCCACATGGACTTAGAACCACATCAAAGTGATGAGATTAGCTTGAGGGAAGGAAAAGGGAACAACGTTCAGGGTGTGAACATGAGATTCTCTTCAGAGCTTAACGGGCCTTGCTCTGACAGGAGAGGGTTTATGGAAGAAGTCCCTCCATCACTCTTTACCGATGACATGATGTACTTGATTTATTTTGGGACCACTACACGACTTTACACTGGATAGACTGCACAGACTGAGTCTGGAACCCTTGATTGTAAAAGCAGTACCTTCTCAAATTTCTGGGGTCCTGGGACTTCAAAAGCTGGACCTGACCTACTTTCAAAATCATTCTCAACTTCATTTCCTGAAAGTCTCACAA